GGCAGGACAGGAGAGGTCCACAAGGGGACCTCTGACCGGGAATCGAACTCGAGCTGCAGTGGCTGAGGACGGCTCCACTGTGCTGTGCTTTAACCCGTTGAGCCACCAGGCAGGGCCCTATTTCTAATTCTTTAGTCTCCACCCTAAAATTTTCTTATCCCCACTGTCACAGCCCTCTTCTAGCTGTGACCTCTAGATTTTCGCCACTGGCTCCTCTCCCGGCCTCTCCCCTTAGCCCAGGCATCGGCTGAAGCACAGCACCAATCTTGTCACTTTCTTGCTGTGAAACAGAGATTCCAAGTTATCTATCAAATGGTGTATCCTTACAGAAGTCATGTTGATGTGTCATTGCATTGGCAACCAGCTGCCCTAACTAAAGGAAGCCGGAGTTCTCTGAGAGCACCTGTTTACTCTGAATGTGGAGTGACAGGAGGTGAGGAGTTCTGTTCGCAGGACTTCTCTCCAGAGTTGACTCCTGTTCTCTGAGGAAGTATTGACTTCTGCGCATATTCCCTACTAACTAAAAAACTAGTTCCAGCAGTATCTGATTAATCTTACAAGCAAAAACACAATCACATGCTATTTTCTTGTTCCCTTGTTCGTATCTTTAATAAAAGCTCGGACTGGGGCAGTAAGAGGCGGAGCTGCTCTCGATGGCTCTCCCCAGCCTCCCACTGCTGCAAATTCATTTAGACTTCAAGTCTTTTTTAAGAGCTGAGAACTTCATTGACTGTTCAGTTGCCCAGCTGTCCTGCTGTCCAGCTGTCTGTGACAGTTTTAGGTGCAATGAGCAGGGCCTTTGGGTTCCCTCTGAGAAATTTAAGCAGAGTTCCCCTTTCAGTGACATTGGCAAGCTTTGCCAATCAATGAGTATTTCACAGATAATAGAGAAGAGACAGAGGAAGAAAAGCAAGTGACTGGATGAACTGACTAATTCCTTAGTAACCATCACTCTTGCTATAAGATTTTGTTGGCTTTCTATAGTACGGATTTTTTAGTGAAAATCTCATAGTGAATTATTTGCCTAACACCAAGTGATGAGGAATGTAACATAAGATAATATAAACAAACTTACGTAAATATATTTGATGCATTTGTTGAAATAGTTAGCAGGCATTCTTTTGTCATTCCAGTTTTATACTAAGACATTTGAGTTTGGATTTTTTCAGACATTTCTATGACAATCCCATCCAGCTTGTTGGAAGATCTGCTTTTCAACATTTACCTGAATTAAGAACACTGTAAGTTCTTAGGTTCCTTGTAAGAACGTTTTCCTGCAGGATTGTTATAAAGAACAAATGACTATTTTAAATTGAAATGATTTGGAAATGGCCATAAAATTCATCCCTTTCTAGGATCTTCTTCCAATAATATTAATGTTCTCTTCTTTCTAGAACTTTGAATGGTGCCTCGCAAATAACTGACTTTCCTGATTTAACTGGAACTGCAAGCCTAGAGAGTCTGTAAGTTCTGGGCTCAGGACTTTGCCCAACACATGTATTTCCCTGAAAGCCTGACTAGTTTAATGTCCTCGAGTCAAAATATGTCAACGTGATGCTTGAATAAAGAATTATGTCTGGTTTGTATTTCAACAGGACTTTAACTGGAGCACAGATCTCATCTCTCCCTCAAACCGTCTGCCATCAGTTACCTAATCTTCAAGTGCTGTGCGTATCAGTGAGGCAATAATGTTATGTAAACAGGCAACTTCCATGCAGGGGTGACATGCAGACATTATTTCACTAATCCTGTAAACAAGAAGACAGTGCTTTCCTTGCAGATCAACAGGAGGTCAACCTTCCACTGTCCGTGATGAAAGTGTGCCCTTTGAGTCCACGGTCCAAATATCCTCTCAGTAGGGATCAATTGGGACCTGCTTCCTTTCAGAAATCACTTCACTGCCCCCTGTAAGCAACACTTAGAGGGGCAGAAAAAATATAACCTACTGGATCAAAAACCAATATGGATGCCAAAAAATAAATAAACCTAAGTGTCAGCCCCAACCAAACCTTAATAAAGGCAACCAAGCATTCTCCAGTAGAGTTGCTGGCCACAATATTCTACTATTTCCTCTAATAATTAAACAGTTTGCATGGATTATTTCTGTTGACTTGCAGCTTTTTCCTTCTGCCCTCCCCCTGCCTTATGAAAGGTAGTTTATAGATATTGAAGAGCTTTGCTTTGGCCTTCTGTTTTCAGTCCTCTTCTTTAATTCACTCCACCCTCTCATCCTCTTGAGCATTGCTCTAACTTAACGAGAGAACTCTCAGTCTCTGGCCACAGCTGTGGTCTCACAGAGCAGACATCCTCAGCAGCTAAATGCCCCAAAAGTCACCACAGACTTGAACTAGCAGCGGAAATACAACAACAAAACAGCTGTTAAGTCAAAGAATAGTAGTAACTGCCACAGTGCTTCTGCTTCCTCCTACCCTAGCCTGCTGTGTGACTTCAGCTCAGTGATACAGGGCTACAATAATGCCATGACAGCCATGAAGTCAGTCATTCATATATAAAGTAGGGGGATTCAGAGCCAATCTCTACATCATCCTATGAAGTGTAGGTACAGATGAGAAAACTGAGAATAAGGGAAGTTAATACACTTGTCAGTCACACAGTAAGAAAGTAGCGGAGTCCAAATATAGGAACAGTCCCTCTGGCTGAATAAATGAAGAAAGTATATGTACACCGCCATGCAGTGGAGATTTTGAGGGTTATCTTGAAATTCTACCTACCTCACCTAGAATCGGTATAATTATCCTCATTTTTAGAGAAAATAGGCTTGGTAACTAGGATTTCACATGCTGTAGCTAATAAGTAGGGAATTGGTAGTTAAGTTGCAGTTGTCTCCATGATGGCACACCCTAATTGGTAAGCCACCTCGGTCCAACACTGCATAAAGGGAGGCGGACTAGCAGATTAGTTAAGAGCCAGGGCTCTACGGCCTACTTTTCAGTCCAAAATCCAACCTTTCTATATACCAGCATCATCACTTAAGCAAGTTATTTATCCTTTCCAAGCTCGGTTGCCCACTCATAGCAGAGGTGTAGCCATTTCCTTCAGATAATCACAAGGATTAAATTCATACTACCTGTGGTGATGGCACACAGATGAATTGGTGGTGGGAAGCCATGGGGATTACAACTGAGATGAAAAAAAT